CAGACATTCTATGATTCTGTGATTCATTTCTAAGAACTTTCTCCTCTATAGTTTCCCAACTATCTGCTTTTCAGTGCTGGCAGCAATTGGCTGTTGTTTAGTTATGGCGATATTAGTAGTTAAGTATTTTATGTGCAAATACAAGGGGACACTTGATACAGGCTCATTTTCTTCTCTCAGACAATGTTTCAGTTTTGTCCTGTTCAATTCACATTGATCTTTCTGCATTTCATTTGAAGTTTGCCTCTGACCAGAGGGTTTGCTGCCCAGTTACCAGCTTTTCCCCCTTTGAGTGAATGTAACGTGTTGCAACTTCTAACACTCCAGGAACTTTGAATGTTAAGAATGACATTATTCTTTTATCTGAAATACCAACTTCTTCCTGTGTTGGTACCCAGGACTGCCCCAGCCCAGGTGCACAACCTTGTACTTGACCTTGTTGAATCTCATGAGCATACTCATCTGCTGTTGGCTGCTTTGGCAGTCAGGACGCTTGATCTTGTGGAGCTTTGGCCATTCAGACTCACTATAGATGTTCCTAGTCCTTGACTCAACAAAGTATTGCTCACTGGCTTAATCTCTCTTTCTGCTAGGCAGCTGGGGATTACCTTTTCTTTCCGCCCTGTGTTGAGTATGTTCTGCTTCCACATGGAAGGTCTGAACAGTGCTTAAGGTGTCGTAGCACACAATTCATCTGTCCTTTTTTGTCCCTAGGCTTATGGCATTGTGTGGAAAGCAATCGATCGCAGGACAGGAGAAATAGTTGCTGTTAAAAAGATTTTTGATGCTTTCAGGAACAGAACAGATGCTCAGGTGAGAAATCATTCGTCTAACATGTCCTGAAAGATGTGGTGGGAGTTCATAGATATTTTCAGGATTTATGTCTCTGAAAGATGTTTGTTATTTGACAATTATGCACGTAATACAGTCTACAGCTGTATTAGGATAAAAAGGAGCAATTGATAACAAGATTTGTATATCATGGCATCTACAAAATACTGTTTGATGTCCCTGAGGAAACAGTGTCTTCACAGACATACACAGTTTCTTCCTCCCTCCCGTTGTCATGTTTTAGTGTCTAAGCACAGAGAGCACGCTGGTGACTCTGGGTTGTTCCTCGCCTGTCTACCATATCAGGGATTCCTCTGCTTCAGAGGTTGGAATAGATTTAACCCTCTCATCGGAAGTCCATACTCTGTTCTGTCCTTCTCTTGGGGTGATCATAAACTTTTTTTGTTTATTTCTAGAGAACATTTCGAGAGATTATGTTCCTGCAGGTAATGTCCATATTTGCCCCTCCCCTCTGATTTTTAATTATCTCTGATGCTATTCACATATGTTGTAACCATTCTTTTCCAACATACAATGATGAGTATTGGCAACTCTATTCATTTCTTTTCTGCACCATCTTCAGAAACTGTCTTTCCATGAATGGGGAAAACCATCTGAATGAAATGGAGAGTTGGTTTTATTTTTGCCTTTGAGACATGTCCCATTCTTTCACCATTTTTAGCTGCTCATCATATTGACTGCACTTTCTATCCCTTCTTACTTCTTTGAGCACAGAAAATGTTTTTCTTAAAAGTTAAAGCCATGATTCAGAGGTGGGGCTGGGGTGTGGAAGAGGTTTACATGCCAAAATATTTTTCATCTGTCATGTGGGAAGCAACTTGGCCACTTAAAATAATCAAAGCAAAACTAAAAGGGAAGTTCTGTATGGAATTACTTAATGCTACTCTTGTTTCGATATAATTGACCACACACTATGCATAATTAGCTTATCAGTGGCATTAAAATTATCTGTTCATTCCTCCACAGGAATACCATGTAGAAACATCAATGGTTTTGAATAGTGATAAGGTTGTTATAACTATGATTTTCTAAGGAGAGAAACAAGGCAGAGCTCATGGGAGGAGGTATTTCCTAAGACTATCAGTTTTAAGTAGGAAATAATGAGGTTTTTTACTTTTTAATCATTCTTTGAGCCTGAACTAGAAGCTTCAAAATTAAGAGCTAAAACCAGGAGAGAACAATTCCTCAGAAGTCACTTGACTTGTAAGTTAGATGATCTCTGAAAGTATAGCACTTCTGGGGTGGGTGGGTGGAGGAAGAACTGGGAACAGAAAAAAGATATTTCTCCTGAAGAAAAGAATGGGTCATTTGAGGGGGGGAGCAGGTGTTAATGTGCCATTAAGCCCTTACTTCCATGACTTGACACTCAATAGCAGAGAGGAACTATAATTCTTAAGTCTATTTTTGAAAGTATTTTATAGCTCTTTCTTGAAGTTCAAGACCAAGCGATTAAAAAGGAAGAGACAAGAAATATTCTTTCATTGATAACTGGAAATTTATCTTAATTTGCTTGTCTGTGAAAATTCCTTCCTGGGCATAACAATTGCTTAGTTTAATTTCTGTGTTTACCATACGGACATTTGATGGACTGGATGAAATTTACAGTAATTGAGAAGCATTGATGTAAAATTTGGTCATTTTGATGATTCTCTTCCAGGTGATAGATACTATGTTGGTCATTATGCTGCTTGCAGGTTTTATGTTTACTGTGCAGCATAGCTGTAGATCAACGTAGTGTATTTTGGGCCACATTTTACAAAGTAATTTTTGGTAGTTACTTTAGTGAGAGCACTGTTCTTTAAGCAAAGAGGAGTAGGACTGGGTCTGAAAAGGCCTTTTTTTCAAGGTAGAATGTTGAGGGTTTTTTAGTATAGATTGAAACTTTTTCCATAACTTTCCTTTATCAGTTCCCAGGCAAGATTGTGAGACAATGGTGTTTTCCTTCAGTGCAAAGTTCTTAAACGGTACCCAAATAACACTGTCAAGACTGATCTGAATCTCTAGGAAAACATCCCTTTCGGGTAAAATCCAATTTTTGTCTTGGCCACAGTGTCTAGGAAGAGGATGAAGTTATAAGACTGTACTGGAGATAGCTGAGAATTATTATTTTTTGATACTGTTTGTAGCTGACTTTGTGATGGAAATAGAGAAAGAATCTATATTACTGGTTCAAATAACTAAAAGTTAATTCACGTATTTTAGATACAAGCATAGGTTTTATGGTGCAGCCATTTATAATTTTATACTCAGGGTAGTTCATTAAAATGTTTGCACACTGTGAGGTGTTCACCATGTCAGAAGTGTTACCTATGAGAAATAAAAGTTGTTAAGACTGAGGATGAAGTGAATTATCTGGACAGTATTGTCAGTCTGCAAATGTGAGGAATGACCTCACCTCCCGTTTAAGATATCTGTGCTTAGGTATCTCTTTGTATGCTGGCTATTTGATCTCTCATAGAGTGGAAGGTCAAATAGACACTTTCTGGTTGGTTGGGTTTTCTAAATTATGAATGTTGATGGCAACTTTGTTCTAGTTTCACTGCCACTGTAATTCTTTGCATCCAGTAGGAAATGAGAGATGCATGAAGCTAACTGGATTTTATTCACAAATGGCATAGAGGGACTTCTTTTTTTAGAATGAATGTCTCAGACAATAGAGGGTTTTTTTAAATTAATTCGCTGGTTTCATACTGTAGAGCAAGCTTAAATCCTTTTTTTTTTTTTAATTATTCAGGAGAAGCATAATGCATTCAGCAGAACCATAAAATAGCATGTTATATTTGTTCTAGATAATACAGTGAAATAGTTATTGTCCTTTTTTATGATTCACAAGCAAGACACTTAATTCTGACAGTTGGGTCTCTTCTCTCTGTAGGAATTTGGAGAACATCCAAACATTATCAAGCTGCTTGATGTTATCCGAGCTCAGAATGACAAGGACATCTACCTCATCTTTGAGTCCATGGGTGAGACTTAGTGTTGCATCAGCCACTTAAATACAGCCTCTTTTAAGAATTATCTTTGTTCCCTGCTTTGATAGTAGTGTGTTGATGATTTACATGAATATTTGTGGAAGTAGGCATAAGTAGGAGCAGTACAGGGCTTTAAAGGTAGATACATCAGTTGTGATTAGATGGGAATAGCAGTGAAGCTTTAAAGGGAGTAAAAATTATATGAGAACTGGCTGGTTGAGATGAAGAAAAGATGAGTGAGCAACAAACTGGAAGGCTTCTAAAGACAGAAGAGTTGCATATGGAGGAGACTATTAGTGCAATTTTGTTATAACAGAAGTATGCAATAATAGAGCAGTTACTGTAGCATGAGCTGCAAGTCAAACTGACAATGCAGAGAAATTGCAGTACTGTTAGTAATTAGTGTTAACTTCTGTTGAGGATGCACTTGAAAGATTATGTTTTGCACAATAGTCTATTCTGGCCTTACTTTGAGGAGCTTCTATTCACAGCTTAGTAATCCTTTACTGATGTAAATATGTTAATATGTTACTGATGTAATATATTACAGAGACAGATTTACATGCTGTGATTAAGAAGGGGAATTTGCTGCAAGATATCCACAAGTGTTACATTCTCTACCAACTCCTGAAGGCAACTAAATTCATTCACTCAGGAAATGTTATTCACAGAGATCAGAAGGTATTTCAGTCATTGTCTTTATACTTCGCTTTAGAGGTCTGTTAAACACTAAATGGAAAAGTATGAAAAGAATAAGGCTAGTAAAAAAGCCTTGATAACAGTCATCTGCCATTCAGAGAGCAAAAAGCTTGTTCTTTTTTTTTGTTCAATTCAGCCTTCAAATATCTTGCTGGATGCAGACTGCTTTGTTAAACTCTGTGATTTTGGGCTGGCTCGTTCTTTAAGTCAGATGAATGAAGAGCAAAGCAACCCTGCCCTAACGGAGTATGTGGCAACACGGTGGTACCGAGCCCCTGAGATCTTACTTTCCTCTCGGAGGTAACTGCTTAATATGAGTGAAGGGATGGGATTCTACAGTTCCTTTAGTGCTGAAAAAATTTACTGTCTAAAAGTCATAAATCTTTTCATTTTAGATGTCACCAGATACATCTCATGTCAGTAGTCCATTTTCTTAATATGCATTTAAACTTAAGTTCTGCAACATAGAAATCTCTAATTATATCTACATTTCCTTCCTGGCTTCTTAGATTGTCTATTTATATATATTATCAGCTCATCTGTTTGTCCTCCTTTTTCCCCACTAGACTTACTCTTTTTCCCCTTAAATTTGCATCTTTACAAAATTTGGTTGAGTACCTTAGTCCTTTTTTGCAAATTTAAGGAAAGATTTTTGATAGACCACCAGAAAATATTTTGTAATCAAATATTAAATCAGCTGCCTGGCAGTCAGGTTTAGTCTTTTGTTTTTTTTTTTTTTACTTTCATATATAATTGCATTGACCAAAAAAAAAAAAAAAATATATATAGGTTGGGTTAGTATCCCAGATTTGAAATGTGGATATTCTTTAAACTGTCATTAACCCATTGTTTAGCATTTACTTTTAAGTAATTGTAACTACTTTCTAGGTATGTTATGCCCTGCAAAGTCAGTTGTTTCCAAACAGCAACTTGTATCTTCACTGTTGATCATATGAGAAGTATATATATTACCTTGTCCTGACATTTATTGTTAATATATTTCCTTTTACAGTTTCCTAGAATATACTTTTAGTAGGATCAATCTCCTTTCTGTTTTAAGCTTGCCACTTTCATAATTCCTGAATCTCATTCACTTTATAGTTAAAACTTGTGAGCATTCATATTCAAGGAGTCATCAAGCTTGTTTTTCTAGCAAAATAGGCTACTGTAGATGGTGTGAATACCAGGTACAGAAAAATATTTGCTTGATTTCGTCAAAACTCTGTTCTGATTTGTAGTTACACTAAAGGTGTAGACATGTGGAGCATTGGCTGTATTCTGGGAGAGATGCTACTTGGGAAACCTCTTTTTCCTGGAACATCAACAGTGAATCAAATAGAGCAGATCTTGAGGGTCATTCCTGCCCCATCCCCAGAAGGTAGGACTCTTCTATGGGGAAAGCTATTTAGAGAAGAGGTTGGAAGAGCAAAAGAAAGCAGCCCAGCTGAATCAGGGAAGAAAGTCTCTCTTGCGAGTTCTTCTAACATCTTTCCAAGGAAATTAAAGACTTAATTGTGAAATGTTAGCATTAGAGGAAAATAAGCCCATACTTGACTAGAAGAGAAACGATCACCAGGTATTAAACTTTTTCTGAGATTTATAAGAAGATAACAGTTTAAAGCAAAGTATCATACTTCAGTGGGACTTGCATAATAAAGGTAAATGGGACTTTTTGTTCTGGAAATCTAAACACAGCAGTGAAAGCTGGAGTAAAGATGTTAAATGCAAAAGGTGGTATTATTATTGTAGTTACTGTGTTCTATGAGTCCCAATCTAACAGCCTATAGACTTTTATAAACTTTTACAACATGTTGGTATGTTCTAACTGACCTAGCAAATAGTAAATAGAAAAATAACTACCTTCAGTTTAAGGACATCACAGTTTTGGAGAATTTCATTCCAGCTTCAAGTTATTTATAGTTTTTATTAGATATTTGGTTGCTATGGATTAAATATGAATGCAAATATGTGTATGAAAACACCAAAACAGGAGTTAGAATAGCCAGCGCTGCTAACAGAAAATGCGATTCCATTCTCAGCAATACAGTTGAGGAATGTATTGATAATGTTGAAACCAGGTCTGCACTCTAAAGCAAGAGCACAGGACAAATGGCTCATTAGCAGAAGGTCCTGTATCCTCACCACAAGGTTGCAGCAGATCACAGGCACAATTTTTCTTTTAGCCAAACAAGTGAAAACAGGAACTTGTTCAAAACATTATTGCTAACAAAGAAAAGCAACGTATGAGCAGCAGCTTGGCTTAGGATTTACAGGGACCATAGAAGCACGATTCTGAAGCATAAAAAGTTTCCATAACAACAGCTGACTCTTTGAAATGAGTTGACAATTCATCATCACCAATCAAAAAGGACTCCAGCAGATGTAGTGAGGAAATCAATAGCTGGTATCCTTTGTTCTGTGTCCCACACAAGTGATCCTGGCCAGATCATTTGGCCTCAGAGATCTTGGTGCTTCTGTGTTTGTGGATATAAGAATGCAAGTTTATGAAATCTATGATAGAATGAAGAGGAATGGAGAAAATCAGCTTAGAAAATGTGTAAGTAAATATTCCACCCCACTTCCATGTCATCTCTCATTGAGATTTATTAGGATAGTTCCCTATGTTAATAGCAAATATTTGCTTTCCTTCATAAACTGCATAGCTCTGGTAATCCTAATCTTGGCATTAACAGTATCTTTCCTTTATTGCAGATATTTTGTCTATGCAGTCAGATTACAGGGCCTCAGTTATTAACCACATGAGCTCCCGGTAAGCCTTGTATGTTTGATGTGTCTCAGAAGTTAACAACTTACTGTATGATGTTGACAAAATGTTCCCTTGAAGTTCACCTTCCAGTGTTTACCAGTGGAAATAATTTCTGCTCTCTACAGATTCACCTGCCTCTAGGGAAGGGATGTAAAATAAGAATAAATAAATAAAAGATTGGGCTTACAATCTGAGCTATTGCCATGCATACTTTTTTAAAACTAGAATATTTTCCTCCCAAGTCATCTGGGTATCTGGTGTCATTGGTTCACACATGGGAAGCATAGATCTCTTCAGGCTGAGAGCCTCATTCCAGCTGCCTATAGACTCTCACTGGGATTTTTTAAATTTATATCTGTTGTGTTTCTTTTGGATCCTCCAGTTGTGTACACAGACTACCACAGAATCCTGCATTTATTACATACGTGGATGGTAAATATTAGTGTAAGAGCATTAAGTTTACTATCTTATAGCTATACCAGATTACTCACCAGTCTCTTAAGTATGCCCTGCTCCTATTTGTCATTATACTAGTGGGCATCCCTTCTCCTCAGCGAGTCTGCAGTGTGCATAGCCCAGCTCTGTGTGGTAGTTCTCTGAATGTTTACTGGTATGTTTTTACAGGTTTAAGTTACATGGCTCAAACCAGAAGCTCTAGCAGGTCCTTTGCTGTTCGTATGAACAGCATATGGGTTTTCACACTGACTTTTGCTGACTTTAGCTCATGTTCTGGAACATTAGTCCCTTTTGTTCAGGGATGCCACTTGCCCAGAGGACTTGTCGTTCCCCTGTGTCTCATAGTGTCTGATATCTCTCACTCT